CCTGTTTAAATGCACTCACTTGATTTTACCTAGTTGTGGTTAAACTGCTTTTTCTGGTGCCAAAGAAAGGTGTTGCCCTCTCAGACTAACTCTGCCCCAGATAAATGTGAAATTGAGGAAGAAGTACAGTTTAGGGTAATAAAATTACTTTTCCTATATGAATTTGACTTTCCTGGTTTTTATTTCATTCATATTAGCTGCATATGAACTGAGATTAAAACCAAACAGCCCAGTAGGAGAGAGAGGTTCATTGACCCTCTTTCCTTTGCAGTTTCTGGTGTAGCTTGAAAAGTTTCTGTGTAGCTTGACAAACTTCTCAAAGACATCAAAAAAAAAAAAAAAAAAGACTCTGCTGCTGACTCATTTGTCAGAACACAAATCAAAATCAGCAAGGCCTTCAGATGCAACCAGTCTGGACAAGTTGTTCCCTGCAGCCTGCTGGCAGGCTGCACGTTGCACAGTGGGTTTGTGTAGCTGGGAATGTTGAGCAGATGTGTGCTTTCGCCCGGAGCACGCCTGGAGGTGCAGAGACCTTCACCATCCCTTCCCCAGGAAATGATGGGATTCGCTCAATTACTTGGCATGGCAACCAGAACACATAGTGAACAGAAAGAAATCTGTTGAATCTCAGTCTAGAAGGAAAATACAATCCACAGCTCTTGAGGGGTGTATGGTGGGGCTGAGGAAATTCACTCCATGTGAGTGTTAAGTGAAAAGACATTCCCTACATGGGTCCCTGCGATGAAAGGCAAAGCTCCATCCAAGCCCAGCTGCTCATTATTGTACCTTGGGCTGGTGCAGGAGCCTAGAAAAACCTAGAGATTTTTTTAGGTACCAGCCCTGTATTGGCAAATGTAATAACTACTGCACTCTTTATGATCTCTATCACTGCCCTTATTCTTTAACATTCAGCATTGAAATCAGCCCAGGGGAGGATGGTTTTGTTGCAATGAAGGCCAGCAGGGGTTTTGACTGGAGAACAGCTGCTGTAATGCTAAATATACATTTGGAACAAGGACATGATGAGATGTACTGCCCTGCTTAATGTCCTTGTCTGGCTGTGCCTTGCTCTCTTCCTGCATTAAGGGTTTTATTCTATCTCCTTGTCAGCAGATATAATTGCCTGCAAATGTCCGCAAGCACACCTGCTACCAGACACTTTGCTATTAAGGTAATTCCAAGAAAATGAAAGCTTCAGCAACCATGCCAGAACAAGTTATTAATCTAGATAAGCCACCTTCCATGCACTGAGGACATGACCTGTTTGTGTTTCAGTCCACCTACCTCCCCTGACATTCTAGAATATTACTGTTTCTTTGGGAGATCACTGTGCTCACCTCTTCCTGATTTTGTGGCAGACCTGGTGACTATGAGATTTTTCTTTTGCCCTTTCCCAGAAGTGTCCACTCACAAGGCTTGGATGCATGCATGTTGAGGTCTGTTACTTTAGCAGCTCTAGACAAGTTGGTACAGGTGCCAAAGTACCTTCATGCCAGAAAACTTATTTCTGTGGGGCAGGAATGGTAGAGCTCACCAGGGCAGGTGAAGCAGTAGGTGTATGGTACATGGCATCACCTTTCTGTTGGCACCCAGACTTTGCACAAACCCACTGTGAAACAACTGAGGGTGCCCTGCTTCTGCCAGTTGCTCTCTGCTCCTTCCACGGTGCCTGGTGGTGCCTGCAGAGCTGACATTGCCACTCTATGTTTAGCTCCCAAGTGATACCACAGACAGCTAATAGTGTTGTCAGCTGTGGTGCCAGCTGGGACAAACTGGTCTTGCCTGTCCTGAGACCTTCTCACTCTGAGTATCACCTGCCTCCACTTGCTGGGGCACCATTTGTGATAAGAATTCTTTTGGATGCTGAGCAATGTGATGAACAGAGACGATAGGAATAGAGGGAGCCAGGACAGTAAAAACAGGCCTCAGGACAGGGAAGATTTGGCTCCACTGTGCTTATACCAGCTCTTCTCAAGACAACACCCTGGCATGTTTTAAATAGGATTTTAGCAGGACAGGCAGTGGGGAAAAGCTATCCAGGAATTTTATTTTCGGAAAAATTGCATATTAACAATCATGAACCTTTATCAATTTCTGCCTCTAGTCAGTTTCTGGTAAAAGCTTTGCTGAAAATTACTCTTCTGAGTGGAAAGTAAAGTGAATTTTAGGGAATAATTTTTCAAAAATTCATTATATAATATAACAGAAAATGGGTTTACTGATACTTTTGACTGAGGCACAAATGCTGAATCCTACAGCATGTTAGCTGGAACAAGCTAAATTTTTCAACACTGAAACTAATTTTTCTTCAACAGTCTTGTGTTTTGTGAACTTCAGTGAAACTCTTTAGAGATAGTTTTGGCCAGCAGTATATCCTAGTTCCAGAGGATCAGACTACAGTCTCTTAGTCTTGAGAATCCAGCTATCAAATTGGCAAGAGTTGGTTGCTGCTGTGAGAGGCAAATTCTGACCAGCACTATGGCATGGTATCAAGGCAGGCAGGCAGTACATGCCAAGAGCTGGTCCAGATCTTCACAGGGAATTTGACAATTCTGGGAATAGTTTCCCTTTTCCCTCATACTAGTTAGTAACAAAGAATAGGAAATAAGTTGGGGTGAGGAGTGGACAGTGGGAGCATTTCATTAAACCATTCACAGAATCACTGAATTTGGTTGGAAGACATCACTGGTGGGCTCATCGAGTCCAACCTCCCTTCTTACACAGCATCTCCTAGAGGATGTTACTCAGGGTTGTATTCCTTCATTTTACAGGAAAATTAAACTGGGCTGCAGAGAGGCAGGAGGGAAAACTATCTGTTATATGTCCTTTTAGACATAAATTGTAACTGATTTTTATGTCAGTTTTTCTCAGTCTTCCCTCCCGCCCTGCTCTCTGGATCACAGTGTCAAATACAAGGTCCACTGAAGTGTTGTGTTTTCCCATGTAGACAATGCCCAAAAACCCTCCCACCCACCCTCCTCCTCTGCTTCCTCTGCCTCAGTCAGCAAGCCCAAGCCAGGTCTTTGCTCTGACACAACGCCACTGCAGGAAATCCTCCAACACAGCAGAGCCAGCACGTGCAGTTTCACATTTTCAGCAGCAGTTAGTGGAAAGTTGTAGCTGAGAGCCAGCATTTGCTCATCATTGCTGATGAACAAGCAAAAAGTGATTTCAAGCAAAACCAAAAGGTTTGTGGGTCACCTTTTCATTTGAAATTTCATTCATTATAAAACTGTTGTTCAAACATCCTATTTGGCGTATTTTAAACTTGCAGGATGCTGGTAGCTTCTCTGACTATCCTTATATTTAGCTAACAAGAAATTGCTCAGAAATTGGTTTGATGCCTCAGAAGCAATACTGTAGATTTACAACTAATTGCTAGTACTTCATCATCCTGCCAAAAAATGCCCCCTTGTCCACAAAATATATGTGTTGTTCAAACCATGATGTGAAAATTTACATAAATTAGAGATGAAGGGATGAAAAAACATCACTTCAGGGCTAAAATCTGTACTCTTTGCAAGTTTCTGGCACAAATATTTGTATCTCTGAGGTATGTGTTGACAGAAAAGGAATTCTTTGTTTTAAAGGGAAATTCTGAAGCCTTTCCAGGGAAGGAAAGTTTGAACTCACTGTTAACATGCACATTTCTTTTCTCCTTGTCAATTAACACTCCAAATGTGACTACTTGTACAGGAAAAAAGTAATAGTAAATGTTTTTTTCAGCACTACAGGTAAAGCAGTGAAGTACTTGCTTGTAGACGCATAATAAGGTAACTTGCCTTTGTTCCCCCAGGCAGGATTATGGTGGATATATAATATGTTTTTCTTTTCTCCCTGCTCAATCCAGTCATATAGCATCAAGGCCTACTGTTCCACTGAAGGATTTGAAATCCTCCATTTTATAAGAGTCACTGCAGTTGAGGAGGGATCAAATGTTAGCAAGCAGTAGGGTAAGAAAACACACTCATAGAGCAAAGCTATGAACACCTCTGTGTGTATGTTTGCATGTTCACTTCTCAGATAAAGATTAAATGTCTTTTTACAAATTCTCTGTCTCCAATCTAAATTTCAAAACATCCCACACGTGCCTCTGTGACTTAGAGCCTACACCAATTTTAGTTTTCGTAGGATGTGTTTGACCTTGTTGGTTTTTGTTGTTTGGCAGGCATGGATATCTCAGGGCAATCATCATTCTCAACTCCTAAGCTATCTGCAAATTTCTTTTGTTTCCAATCTAAATTTTTAAGGCTCTAGTAAGGTTAAAGATGAAAGAAAACCACTCTCCTGAGCTCACACCTTCAGCATTGGCATGATGCCTCACAAAAACGACCTTAATTCATTGTGGAGAGTGACTTCCTGGGGCTACTGTGGGAGATACAGCAAGTAATAATGTCCATGTGCAATGTTTTGTAACTTGTGAAGATGGAAATTTTGGGTGATTGTGAGAAAATTTTAGTATTATTGACTTTATTTTACTGTAATTAATTGAATATCATTCTTTTATTTAAATGCATCATTCACCACCCAAGGACAGAATAAAAAAAAAAAAAAAAAAAAAAAAAGAGCACAGCTGGCAAGGACAATAGACTGGAGATTAAGCAAGGTGTCAAAGTAAAGAATGGCATTCAAAACATCGTGTGATCAAATGTATCAGTAATGAAATGTAAGGGAACTTTATCCTGAATAGAATGACAGGGCTCCAGACATACACAGCTCCAGGTAGTTTGGATTCACATTGGGCTGTAGATGAGAAATTCTTGTCTAACAAAATTTTAAGCTCACTGAAAGACAAGCAATTTCCTTACTCTGTGTATATACAGAAGGTGGCACTGGGACACGGCAATAGGCAAGCAGTGCAGCTTGAGCACCAGTAATGATGAGTAGCACTGCAGATCATCACTGAACCTGGAGAAGGCAGTTAAAATACTATTTTCAGAGTAACAGCAAACCCAAGACCATTAAGACAAAAGATACTGAGCAAATTGACACACTCTTCATTCTTTTTATTAGTATTTATTGTTGTTATTGTTATTCACACTTAGACAACTCAGTTACATTAAGTGATTTATATGAAGAACTCTGTATTAATATGATAAGGTGAGAAAGTGTGCACGCCACTGTGAAACATTCTGTTGATAGTGAAGTAGGACCCTGATAGAAGGGATTATTTCCAAGAGCCTATATACAAATAAAGGTAACTTTCATACTATATACAAACTTGTATTCACAGAAAATATACTGATTCAGAGATACAAGAGTATCATCTAGTGAATAATGATCCATACACTTAAACACATGAAAAAAATTGGAATTTTCGGGGGGTTGCCTGGACTTGCAAAATAAAAAATACATGAAAATGTATTTTTACTTTTAAAGTTTGAAATTAGTAAAGATGGGGGACTTCAGATTTTTCTTACAATAGGTTGAAAATGATGGATGATAAGAGAATGAAAACCACAAAGTGAAACAAACATGCTAGAAACACTTTATTACAAAAATAGCCTCTGATTGTCAGTTATAACACACTGCTATTTTCACATCACAATACCATGTCCTGATCTTGCCATCTTACGTGACAGAAATAATTTTAATTTATGTAAGTCAAGTCCCCAGAATCAGGGTTGCAAAATTAAAACTGCAACAGAGATCCTGATAATGGAAATTAACACAAAACCAAGTGAAATGCTTTGGCATTACTTAATTTTGATAAGGGATTAAAATAAATGATTGATTTCTATTGGACAACCTGACCCTGAAAATTTTTGAAAAACTGACAAAAGCAATGCATCTCTTATAAACTTACTAAAACATAAGGAGCTTCCTTTACTGTGATCTCAGTGGGAGAAAACATCAGAGTAGCAGAATTATTTAATTGCCTCATTGAGCCTGATTCTGTAAGCATTTTATTCCTTCTCCTGGGGTGAACAAGGGTAGCAGGATTGAGTCCCTGCTGCAAAGGTAGTGTGCAGCATTTTGTACAGCCCCACAGGAAAACTCAAGAGTATGAGAAGTAAATTCCCCCAACTTACTCACAGCATCTCTAAGGCAAAACCAGATCCTTCTTTACTCTACATTTATTTGTCAGTATTTGACATTATACCTTAAACAGAGACATGGAATTGATTTTTTACTTTGAAATTAATGATCCCCTTACTTAAAAACCCCATACTAGTCTTCTGGGTTCTTTTATGGCTTCTTTTTGCATTAAGACAACTATGTGACATAAAGTAAAAATAAAATAGTAAAGTGCACAATCTTTAAAAATGTGTACAAATTTCATTGTTTAGATTGGTTTTGTGTTTCATGAGTGGAGAATTTACAATAAATCTACATGAATGTACAGTTCATTTACCAATCTTGAATTACTCTATCTTGTCCTGGGTTGTTTCACTTATGGCTCATGTAGCAATTATATGGCCAATTTTGTGCCTGGTCTACCCACACTCAAAGGGATTACATGGCTTCTAGGCTGGGGCTGACCTATGTCTGGCTGGCTGGAGCATGGGCTCAGTCCATGCTAATGTGGTGACATGCCATGTGGAGAAGATGCGGCTTGCATCCGGTCAAGCAGGATCATAGGCAGGGGAAGGCCCAAACTATCTGCACCCATCCAGGCAGACAAGTCCTGGGATGCTGCACACTGACACCCAGCACACACTGCAGGATGGCCTGTCTGAGCTACCCAGCTGTGAGCCATATGTGACTGCTGCATCTAATGGGTGTGCTGAACTGCAAAACTTCAGTTTGGGGGTGGCTCTCTCCAGTTCCAACAGAAATGGCAGATATCTCAACACCAATATTCCTGTAACTGACGGCAACAGACCCAAGAAGGATAATTTTAACATCAACCAGGAATGAAACCTGTGGCTTTTGGAGGACTGGAGCAGGATTCTTCTCCACACTGAGAGAAGTTGAGAGTTGAGTGCAAACTATCCCATTTGATACTCAAATTCACTTTCTGCAAGTATTTTTCCAGGTGCAAATTCTTCAATTCGCAAACCATGCCTCTTTCTCAGTTAGTTGTGTCATTATTGTTTACAAGAGGTAAAATTTTTTCCAAGAATACAAGTAAATGTAATTTGTCTCTTTGTACATAGCTCCCAGGACAATTAGGTTTGTTATGTAACTTTATGAAGTACGCATTTATGAAATATGGGAATCTAAGATAAAAGTTTCCATCTTGCACAGATTAATGGCTGAATTCTTCTGTATTTCATTGGGCCAGTTCTCAGAGAGGGATTATTTCTTTGTTACAAATAAAGAAACCATCACATACAGACTCATACCTGACTCAGAACATAAGTTATACGGACCACAAGATGCTATTTTAAGGAATTACTGCTGAAAGAATAATAATTAAAAAACATTGAATATCCCCTTTTTTGCAAAATATGTAATGAAGTAAAAGACAACCAGAGAAATAATCCCTTAAAAAACACCCAAACGTTAATAATATTTCTAAGCATCTATTTTTTTCACTGTACTTGGATTAACTACATGTTTAATTTACCACTTTGTGGACCTTCATATCCACACACAACAGTACCATGAGTGACAGTGACCATAAACTACTTCAGAGTAGTATATGTGGAAATTATATGCTAGGTTCATTGCCATTACAAACAAATGACACCTAGATAAGGTTGCTTGTCACCCACTGTGCTTTATGCTTCATGAAGTTTATGCAGTCAGCCACATCAACTGGATACATAAGCAGAAGTATACAGACACAAGAGCCTGTCTGCACTATAAGAAAGCACTAGCTTTCAGTAAAATAGTTAATTTAAAATACATAGAGCTTTGCTGAAAGGCTTTTCCATGTCTACATGTAGTTCTTAAGGAGAGAATCTTCACACCACACTTTTAATCTATAGCTTTTACCAGGCTGTGACTAGGGTGGCTTATGCAGAGGGAAAACAGAAAATGGTTGTAGAATTCCCGTGATATTTTGTACCTTTGGGGCCCATTCTCATATTTAATTCCAATGAAGTTAGTGCAGAAGACCTTTAAAACTGGCTACAGTCTGAACCACAATTCTATTCAAATGCTACCAGAAATCCCTTCAAAAAATTGTGTTCAACATTGATTCCATTCAGAGATGATGGTGCCACAGAGGATTAGTTGCATACTTATCTTAATTCTGTGTTTCTAAGCTGGTGTCCTGAAAGCGCTAAGCTAGAACAGGATCTTTATATGTGCCAATTTTTCTGTTAATTCATTTATACTTCATAAGGATTATGCAGGCAGCAGGATCACTTGAGTAAGTAAGCACAGGCATACAAGCAGGTGGAAGAGGCTTCAACACCAACCAGCTTGCTGTAGAATTTGGGCGGTGTGAAGGACCAGATCCCTTGGGAAGTCATTCAGAACTTTGGCTGAAGAAAATAGAACTTTGACTTCTAGGTGTGCAATGTTGAGAAGAGTTTATGATCCCACACTGAAATAATTATGAACAATGATAAACTCTTTATGCTGGAAAATTTGCTGAAATTGCAAAATAGGAATATTGCAACAAGTGTGTGTGTTTCTGGCAGCATTAAGCCTGGACAACTCACTGACAACCAGTCACCGGGTATGAGCTGCTTTTGACTATTTTCTCAACATTCTAGTTTAAGACTGAATTCCTTCTGTACAGGATAAGGGACTAAGCTTCTCCCTCCATGCCACTCCTCTTTTTCTCTAGTAGCCAGCAGAGCTGTTGTCTTGTAATCAAAGAGCACATCAGCATCCAAGAATCCACAAACAGTTTAGACCTGCAGTAGAAAGGTGCCTTGGCAAGTATAAACATTGCTCACAGACAGCCTTTGCAGAAAGCGGCACACAACTGAAATATGTCCAATTACCTCTGGATCTGAGGTACCACTGGTACAGTTATTTAGCCATTTGAAAAATGATCTGCCCAACAGCTACAAGGCAGTGGGAGCCATGAAGTGTCTTATTCTGGAGAAGGAAGAGTTGTTTTCAATACCTTCTTAGATAAAAATGTGACAGGGATAAACAGACATGGGAAAGAAATGAGACACATTTCCTTAATGGTATACATATTCCTATAAGCTGCTGATGCCAGTTACTGTCTACTCCCTACCTGCCCTCAGTGGGGCAGCAGTCTCTGCTGCTGATGCTCTGAGTGCAGCAGAATGCCCTTAGAGCTCTGAAGGTCAGGTAGGAGTTTTCTTTTTTCAGTGTGGGAGTTGTTACACCATGATGGCATGAAGTTAAAAAAAAAAAAATAAAAATTCGTGTACTAAATAGAGATTGGACTCTGGTCTCATTTCTTGATTTCTTGATTTGAAATCTGGTCTCATTTCTTGATTTCTTGATTTGAAATGTCAGATCAGTGAATCTGGGCATTGCAGTATTTTGAAAGCGCCTGCATACATAGCCCTTCCCTTAGATCACTCCTATGTATGATTCTGCTTACTTGGGAAATAATTTCCTGTTTTGAGCACTGTCATCAGAAACAAAAGCATCTGGTGACTCCTCTGGAATAGATTGTACTATGGAGTCAGCTCTGTATTTTGGAGCACACGTTTTGGTTGAGGTCAGATTTTGGGTTACGAACTTGCTTTAGGTTGCTATTCTGTCAGTAGAGGGCACCACAGTTATGTAGATACACCCACCTTTCCATCGCGTAGGAACAAATGTTAGAGATGGGCAGCACTATCGTTAAGACAGGTAAGGATTCTGCACCAGTAAAGGATCTTGAATACAAAGACAAGTTTTGCTCTCAGTGTGAGAAGCTCACTCCAAAAAGCCCTAAGTAAGAGACGTTGCTTGTTGTGTGGTTAAGATCAAATACTGCATGTAGCTAGGACTTAGGACAATACATGAGTAGCAGACATTGCACCTCCTAGTATCCTTCGTTTATTTCATTAACAGCTCACTTTTTTCTTCATGATAGCACATAATATTAACATTCCTAATATGAATTTTGTACTGTTTTCTTTACCATTGTTTTCTGTCAAGTCCTTACTTTCTAATCATACACTGTTACATACAACACATATTACAGGAAAATAGTAGAGGACAAAAGGGGATGAGTGAGAAACAAATAGTGTGGAGCAGAGAAAAACAGACAAGACAAAATGTGCTGAGACTTCTGTTACACAGATGTGAGAATGGCATTGCCATTGTGAGCACAAGATACATATAAAACAATGCTGAAATAGGTCACAAAAATGCACTGAAACTTCATGAACTCTTAATTGCACAAAAAACTTGAACAAACAAATGATGATTATATAAATAATTTCTTAACATTCATTCCAGTCCTCTCATTAAAAAAAAAAAAAAAAAAAAAATCAGCCAAACTACAGAAAGTTGGTTGCTTTCTCCCTTCTTGTTTTTTTCTGCTCTAGGTTTGGACCTTCTCTCTCTCAGTATCTCCGAAAAAGGATGTTACATTTTCACTCCTTCCTTTCTTTAGACATGTACACTTCCAGCAACACTGAAGAATTTTCATGTAAGTTTCCTGCAGCTCCACTGTATTTAAATTGTATTTCTCCTAACTAGTTTCAAGATTTCTAACAGCAAATGTGAGCTTCCCAGCTTTATACAACAGCTGGAGATCTCTTCCAGCAATAACTATATGTAGCTGTGAAGGTCCTTATACTCCAAGTAATAGTGAAAGCCTATAAATTATATATTCATTTAGCAATTAGGCTGCCACTTTATAACTACTTCTATTTTCTGTATGAAATACTATGCATAAGCAAATTAGCCTTTTTATTCTGGCATGAAAAGGCAAACTCATAACAGCATCTGAAAGCCATTGGTACTGTTGATATTGCTGCATTAGAAAAAATGGTGTGTTCACATAGCTGTATGATGTCACTGCATGCTGCGTTGCTATTAGAGAAGAAAGATTATCCCCATTCTGGTCTTTGCATGAGAATGCAATGAAAATCTGCACCAGTTACAAAATGGTCAGGCATCATGGCTCCTTCAGTGCCAGAGTTTCTGGAACCTGAAGAGTTTTGCAAGATGTAAAAAAACACCATTAACATCCTGCTGATTGCCTTTATGGACCTGTGATGCAGATGATCAAAACACTGATGAATTCCCTGGCTTTGCTGAAATCACACAAATCACATAAATCAGATAAATCCACTTACATGAAGAGACATAACAGCCCTTCCCTGTTCGTGACTCATCACTTGGTGTATGCTTTCCACTCAGGAGTTTCAGCAGGTTATCAGAAAAATCCTGTACCAGGGTGTGTGGGGGGTGGTGCCTCCACAAAGTTAATATTAGCATTCCTCTTGGAAGCTTTAAGAACCGAGCACACTGTGTGTCTGTGTATACTACTACAGAGAGCAGGAAGTCTGTGGGCAGGTTCTGTAGGCAGAGGAGAAGCAGAACTGTCAGTGTTGCGTACGTCGCGTGCCCAGTGCTGAGCGGCGAGGACGTTCTGCAGCAGAGGAACCTTCGGTGCACCCGGACTCAGCATAACTGCACTGTCCTGCAGCAGCCGTTCTTCAGCTCTGAGGCTGACCCTTTGTATCCCATTCTTTCTTTCACTCTTAAAATTGAGGAAGAGAAAATTTTCAGATCCATGGGTTATTCCTGCTGCAATTTTCCACTGTGGTTTCTTTTCGCTGTTTTGTTTTGACATATGTATCTTTTCTTTAATAAATATATATGTTTTGGTTTTTCTTTTTTTTTTTTTTTTTTTTTTTTCTGTAGAGAAACATCACTTTCCACTAGATGGAGACAGGACACTGGATCACTTTGTCCTCCAGAAGGACGCTGACAATCAGGAACACAAAATAAAGCCCAAACATGAGGAAACCCAGGATTTTATTCATCCTCCACTTGCAGGAAGCAATGGAGAGGATGACAAAGAGCAGCATGATGAAGAGGAGGACAATCGCACAGAACAGACCATTGCTGCTGACTGTCACTGGCGCAAAGCTGTTTACCACAGCGAACAGGAGCCATGGAAGAGGAAGGCTGTTAAGAAACAGAAAAATTAATTTAAAACATTGCAGAAGTCCAGAAGGGAGCACTAGGAAGTTTCTAGTGACAAATCAAAACACAACCAAAGGCTTCCTGCATAAAGTGAGGCAGGAAGAGGTTCAACTCTTCTAATAATTGCATAAATATAAATTGTAAGCTTTCTCATAGTTCTTGGGGAGAGCACATGGGATTTTTCACTCCCCACTCTTCCACCAATTATACTGGTGAATTATCTTTCCCTTGGCTGGCAAATCATGTGGCATCCTGTCTGTGAAGAGGAAAACCCCTTTAGTTTGTTTTTAGATTTCACACTATCTGCAGAAACTATTTGCACACTGTTTCCAAGAATCTGCCTGACAGGTGAGTGGAAAGAAACATGTCCTTGCCATGAAGAGCCAGCACTCTGCAAGGCACTGCCTGCAAAATTTCACCCTTAAATATCTTTTTCCACATTTACTGTATAAACCACTGTTAAACTGTGAACTTCAATTGAACTTGAACTTAACTTCTATTTCTGTGTTTGTTGTCATTTCATTTCTCATCTCTCACGCCACAGAAGGAGACAATATCCCTCTGCAAGATGTCAAGCTGAAATAAATATTTAAGACACTGATTGGAGCTTAGCAGGCTTAGAAAGTATGAAGTGAGTTGTCAGAAGCTCACAACATTAAAACTTTGAATAAGCAGCTCAGGAAAGAATAATTTATTACAGCTGCAGTAATAACTACACCACTCTACAGCTCAACTGTGCCATTTCTGTTGTAAATATAGCAGACTGGTGCAGGACAAAGCCATGTCCATTGCCAGGAAGATTAAACATTTTTTTAAAAGTAAGAAAGCACTGTAAAAGAGAAATAATGTTGTAATGCATCCTCTGTACTCCAAGTAGGAGGACATGGTTTTCATGTATTTTATATGTTTGCTGCATATAGATATTTCAAAGACTTAATGCTCCTGGATTAATAGAAAATTGGCCAAGTTTTCCTACTGTTAGCTAATCACTACTGTGATTAGCTAACAGATAAAGTAAAAATTATATTTACTATATATTTTAACTTCAGAATCCTTTTTTGTACCTTTGTGCAGTTGCTGGTGTATTTTCAGCTGTGAAAACCAGGATCTCTTCTACAACCAGGCTGCCTGGCACTGTAACTATGACTAGACCTGTTCTTCTGTTTGTGTGTGATAGCAAGAAATAACCAAAGATTTCCTGCACATTTTTAAAACACCAAGGCACAGATTACACTGTTTCTGAACCTGATCTACCTTGGTCTCAAAAGTTAAAAAAAAGAATTTGAATTACAACATTATGCCACAAATCATTACCCTAGAGCTGCCATGAAGCAGTGAAGTGTAAATAGAAAACTTCTGCACAATCTCATGTAGCTTCACATTGTCAGAGCTATAAAAATGGTCCTTTTTGTTAAAAGAGAATTTGTTTGTAACTTGGGACTTGTCAGGTATAGAGAAAAAAATTAATCACATGTCAACAGCAGCCTAAACCAGTTACACAAGACAAAGACTTTCTGTTGCTATTACAGCAAATATGTTGAATACCACAGAGGCAATGAATTGTTCTTGATCATCATTTATAAAGAAAGCTCTAGTACAAGCACAATGAGTGGTAACAGAAAGCAAACAGCAACATCACAAAAGTATAAAAAGCTTTGAAATTCCTTTTCAGAACAATGCCCTAATACAATTTTAAAGTGCAATTCCCTTGCCTAAGCCTCTCTGTAACATATTAAAGCAAGGATTAGGCAACAAATTTATAACATTTCTTCATGCAGATATCTATAAACTTTAGAGCACTTGCCACAGTAACTTTTGCTTCCTATTTGTATTACTCTCCTTTTTAAAGATTGCTGCTTGTGGGCAGTACCACAGCAATGTACTAAGAACAAAAGACTTGTTTACAAAAGACACAATTTTCTTGGTGTAGAACTTACCCCACCGTGATGTCAAATATGTTGCTTCCAACAGAACTGGATACAGCCATGTCCCCCAGACCTTTGCGTGCTACAATAACACTGGTAATAAGGTCAGGAATGGATGTGCCAGCAGCTAGAATAGTTAAACCCATGATTTCTTCAGTAATACCAATGGTCTCTCCAACCTAGAAGGGTTTAAATAAAACCAGAAAAAAGTGTCCTGCAGTGAAGGAATGTTTTAAACTGTCCTGGACTTTCCCACTAGCTTGGAGAATACCAGGCAAGATAGAGAAATAACTTATCTTCATGGATTTCCCCATGTATTAGCAGAAAGGTAAGGCTTTCAAGTAGAAGTATAAGGTATAGACAGGCAGCTGCTCACAGCTCTAATGTTACAAGAATGATCAAGTCCGGTGGTCAGGCCAACCTGACCAACACCTCTCTGAACTATTTTCCATTTAGTGAGTACTGATTTACTTAATCCATCGTTACAGCTCCCAAAATAAAGCAGCACTCAGAATGAGATAGATGTACTCTGATTAGAAATTATCTTTTATAGTGCAAAACGTAATGCAGGGCTTTTATTTTGTGCAAGTGTCACCTCCTTACCTGGTGGGCCCACCAGACCATCAAGTAAGAAAAGAAGGCAATCCAGCTGATAGAGCCAAAAAACGTGATAGGAAAAAATTTTCTTGATGTCTGAAACAGAAACAAAGAGAAACAGTGAAAACCTATATTGAAGAGTGACATGCCATACTCTTAATTGCTTCTCAATATGAGAGTGGCTTCTCATTTTTCTGATGGCCTGTTCTAATCAACTGTTCTCATCATCATCAGATGATCAAGATACCTGTCAAGAAATGTAAGAAACAGATGCCCTGACATTGGTATATAAGTACCTATGCCTCATTCTTCCAATTGCTTCAGTCATCAAATAAGATTTCCTAAGAAGTTGTATGATGAATGGGAAGTTCTTGGTTTCATTTTTATCTTAATTTGTTATGATCCAGTTTGCATGTCTTTAGCTCAACAGTGGTTTGACTTCCAAATTTATTATTAATTTCATGTTTCTTCAGAATGAATGTTTTCAAATCGCTTCATCAGGTGCCTGTATCTTTCCTTCCTACATTAGCAACTTTTTTGCAACAAATTTCACAGTCAGTATAAAAAAGACTGTCAACTGGCAGAGCTAAAAACATATACACCTAAAATTTATTATGGCACTTATTCTGCTAGTGAAAACTACTCACTTTCTCAATAGAAGACAAGTTAAGCACATATTTTCCATGCTTCATTTAGTAGAATTTAATGTTATAATGTTATAAAAATATACAAAACATACTAGCAGAGTCCTAAAAATTTGCATGAATAACCAATAGGACTGCCTGTGGAAGTAAGTTATACCACTCTGAATGGCTCTTGCAGCTGCTTCTCAGTCCTGCAGAACTTCTTCTCATTTGGTCCTAAATCCACTTCCATTCCAGAATTTTTCCACCCCCTTTCATTGCAGATCATGCCCTGACTGCACCAGGAGGCTCATTAAGACTGTGGATCATTCCTAGGTGTTGTGGAAGTGTATGGGATTGCAGGGCTTTCCCTCAGTATGACTTTTGGAGAGAAAATACCTTTTGTTCTGATTCAGATTCTTCAAGTCATCATAAACACTTATTTTTTTAGGGAGTTTACAGAGCTGCACAGTCAGCTTTCCTTATATAACAAACTCAACAGGCATTTGTATGAAACAGCTTCACTTTTAGGAACTGATCAGCACAGAATCAAAGGGTGGCTGTAGACCAAAAGATGATCAATGTATTGGGCTGGCCATTAGAACTGGTCAAGCAGAAAATGTCACTATGTTTTGCCAGCTGAACCTGAAAGCAATGAGGCTGGTCTGTAGCTCAATGAGACTGTAGACTTTCTGCGGACATAGTGGAAATGAGCTTGGGACATTAACTGATACAATAAGGGTAAAGTCAGCAATGCCAGTTGTGCACACTCATCTACAGCATGGGACAAATAGTAGGTCTGTATCTGCTCCAGCAGCAGGTGCAGCTGACGGCTGTGCTACAGAGCACTCACTCACTCCCTGTGTATACTTTGCATAATGCCAAATGTCCTCCTGAAAACTGAGCATGCTGACTAACACGACATACAATTTCACAACTGAATATACACAGGAACACACATTAAATACGGTACAGATTTAACAACACTACTGGAGGGACGAAACACATCTTCTGTGAGGAAAGGCTAAGAGAATTTAGATTGTAGAACCTGCAGAAGAGAAGACTTTGGGGTGACCTAATTGCACTCTTCCTGTACCTGAAAGGTGCCTCTAAGAAAGATGAGGAGAAACTATTCACAAGAGTATGTAGTGACGGGACAAGAGGACTAGAAAAGTAGAAAGAAAGAAGGTTTAGACTGGACATTAGGAAGAAGTCTTTACTATGAGGATGGTGAGACACTGGAACGGGCTGCCCAGAGAAGTTGCGAAAGCCCCATCCCTGGCAGTGTTGAAGGCCAGGTTGAACTGGGCTCTGAGCAACCTGGCCTAGTGAAATGTGTCCCTGCCAACGTCATGGGGGCTGGAACTAGATGATCTCTAAGGTTCCCATCCAACCCAAACCATTTTATGAATCTATGATTCTAAACTCCCTCTTAATATAAATAACTGCTCATCTGTTGGAGTAAAAGTGGTCCAGTAGGTGTTTTAAACCTTAAATAACCACAACATGGAAATGTCCTTTTCGTATAAATTCCACTACTGTCACAAGCATTGTTTTTAGAACTACTCACAGCACTTTGCTTGATCTATTTCTTTATTGCTTCTCAACTCATTACGGAGCTACTTTTTCAAAAGAGAGTTCTAAATTTCTATCAAACGAGAAAATATGATAATGAGCTTATGATTTTTAAAACCTGCTCAGATGGAATTCTAAGTTTAAAACCAAAATTTTATATGCATTGGTAACAGAAGTCCTTAAAGCAATTTGAAAGAAACGTATCAATAACTGTTATAATGATCTGACATCAGTGGGAGCAGAATTAAGAGTGGTAGAAATAAATTAATCTAAATACCAATTTCTCTTTTAAAACTAAGCAATTAGCATTTTTTTTTCATCATTCCTAGTAGTTAACTTGGATTCCAACTTCCAACACTTTTCATCTTCCTTGTAAAAGCTCCAATCTTTTGGCAAGACATATGGTTAATGAGACAATGAAGCAATGAACTTTTTAGAACTGGTGACAGTCTGTGCAGAGCACCTCGCAGCAATGCAATTTGAATGATCACTGCACAATACTCAAGATTTAAGCATACACTGGCTTAAGCAAAACTAATACAACCAGAGCCATGATGGTCAGTAATAGCTCTCTGATGGTGCGATTATATACATCAAATGGTTCTTGCAAAACAAGGAGACACTGGCTATCTGAGTCAGACACCCACGGAATTTGGATGGCTAAGAATTACGAATCAGTAACTTTGCAGCATGTGTACTCCTTGCCTGTTTTAGCTAATCCTCTCCCACTAAAATTAACTGATAAGCAGCGCTCCAAGATACTTTAATAGACTTAACACTTAAATTAACTATTTTAAAATGGGGAACATTTAAATTCAGAAAGGGCAAAATTTAAAGCCTGTACATTTTACAGGAGATTAAATAAAATGGACTCCATAGATGCTGCTCTATAACATGCATATAGATGAAAATCTGAAAAAGCCATAACCAGAATGCTGATTCTTTTTTGTATGCTGGATTTTATTCCAGACTGTAACAATAATAACCACACTTGTTTTGTAACTAGTTTCAGCGTTCCCTTGAGATTTATGTAATTTCTACTCCCTAGCTCTTTGAAATACAGACAGCTGCCAAATCTATGTATTTTCCTAGAAGAATTAGTCAGAGACAGCAGACAGCAATACTTCTCTCAATCTTTTTTCAGTAGTTGTTGTGGTGGTTGCCTTGTAAAGACTGAGTTCAGAGTTTATTAGCAATTGGCTCTTTTGTGGTCCTAGTAACAGATAAATGAGAGAAGCCATGGCTCATTCAGTTCATATGCTATTTTCCTTTAACAAAAGCAAAAGGATTTTGTAGTTCCACTGTAGATTGGATGGATTGATTGTGTTCCTGTCTAGCAGAAAGAACATTCCATCTATCTTAAGAACATTTTTCTTGATATATTTCTATATATTTATCTAATGCCAGTGTCTGAAAAACAGGGTTATAAGTAGCAAAAAATAATCCAGGTATGAGGGCTTTTCTTCTGAGAGTTTGATCCTGGAAGGTGCTGAATAATTTGGAAGGTAACTATTTTGATTTTAGCCAGCATTATTACCAACATCTTTAATCTAAATGATTCACATATTTGTCTCGTTCATAAATGTATCTGCATTGCAAAGTTTGATCTTTCTTTCACACTTAACTGTGCTTAACTCTGATTACTCAGAATCTGCTCTTCTAACTGGATCTGTACAGGAACATGTTGTCCTTGTCCCCTTGGTAACAGTGCATCTCTGTATGGCAACAAGAGTTCATGGAAGTTGTAGCTCTTCATTTGTAATGGGAATTTGCAGAGACAGAAGGAACTCCCCTGTATGAGTCCAGTGATGGCAGGACTGGAGCCCCAAGGGCCATCTTTCTGGCCTGTAATGGACAGGGATGGACAGTGGAGTAAGGTTATAATAAAAGAGGAGATGGCCAATATCTGCTCCTGACCTACTGGGGCACCTTGGTCACATAATTTTTCTTTCAGTCTTTTAATATCTGTTACTCCAGGAGATGGGCAATTACATAATGTGACCTTTACAGAGCCACTGGGGAAAGAAGTCATTAGTACAGGAAAAATAGCCATTATTGTTCAAAACACCTGAGCAAAACCTCAGGAAAAAAAATTCCCTAAGGGCACACACATATACCTCTGGGATATGCCAACAACATTATTGATGTTATAGTAAGGATTTTAATATATACTGGCTTAATGTGAGCAGGTATTATTAAGGTAATAAACACATTAAAACATCTCAGCTGAAAGCTGAACTAATGCATAATATACTTTTAGTATATAAAAATCTGCATATGTATGCACCAGAGCATAATAAGGCAGCAGGATTTTGCCGACTTTAGAACCAGATACCTTGTCTAAAAAATAATTTTTCTAGAGCTTGTGGGTTTCATGGAACCAATTGTATCTTGGAATAGTACAAATAAATGCAGGGAAACCATCTCCTTTTTGTGGAGACAAAATATACACTAGAAAAAAAACTCTAGATAGAAATAAGAACTTACTAAAAAGTGGACACCCACAGAGGATGCCAAAGGCTCCATATGGTCTTTCAAATCACTATGTAGCACACAAGCATTCACTTTATATACGCATATGCTAATCTGAGCATCCTGATGCAGAATTTGGGTTTCTGACTAAAATTACCACACTTGCAAATCAAGCCCCTGATGGTAAACCTATCTAAAAAGTCTAGTTGAGTGTTATTTTAGGTTTACTTTAACTTTTATCTCACAGTTTTCATTGAAAATTGTTTTCTGATGGACATGCTGAGTTGTGATAGCAGACATCATTTTTGTTAGGAAGGGATTAGTGGGGATGGCACACAGAAATAAGTGAGAATATTTTGAAGATACATTAATGAAGCATACTTAAAATGTTAGATAGTTTATGCAACCATCCGGTTAATTCTTTAACAGCAATGTTCAAAGTAAGCAGCTTGTCACCCATTACCTCTTCTGTTAATCTACATGTAATTACAAACTACCTTTTTTTTTTTTTTTCTGTATAAACTTTCAGTGAATGGAGTTTTAAAGCTCTGTTTTTAAAACTTCCCAATCTGGAGAATACATCCATGTTTATCTTTTGTGGTATGGCAGGGTGCTCTAGCTACTGGATGTTAGCATGGAGTTCTGTTGTGAATGGTACTAGTGTTAATAATCACATGCATCATACAGTTGCAGGTAACTTGTCAAGGTACTCACTTTACAGAACTATTATTTTAAAAATTTGCATAGTACAGAATAGTGGATAAAGCTACAGGTCTACTCATATGAACTTCAGATGTTCAAAATTCAAAATAATGCCCATAAATATTTCTTGCTCATTTTATATCAAATTATGAAAAAAATTACAAGGATGGTTTTGAATTATGAAAGGAGGGCATAAATTCAGAAATAAACAATCTTGACATTCATGTAGTATGTTCTGTGTGTTATGTAACAAAAGTGATTTCCAGAGTTTTCTGGAATCTTTATGAAAAAGAAAGCTTAAAAATTGGGAAGGAAAAAAGTGTCAGAAGGGAAAGAAGGGAAAATGTCACTTTATAGCCTTCAGAAGTTTTTATCTAAAAACATGCCAGAGATCTTATTTTAGCTTCCTTCTTGCACTGAACTGCAGTTTTTCAGTGTGTGGGATGATAAGCTTTTTCACTGTGTGTGGGGAGGAAAGAAGAATTCAGGGTGTTGATTTATAAACTTACATGCTGTGCATGCCTCTCTTGCAGCAGTTTTAGACCCGTTTTTGATCCAGAAAGGAAAAGAGATTAAAACACCACTAATTTTTTTTCAGGTCTTGATGCTCTCTCTTTTACTTTCCATGAGGTTTCCCAGTCAGGTCTATTTGTATATATAAGTATAAAAGTGGTAAGCCTCAATAACATGTCAGTCTTACCTTACTGTGTTTAGGACAAAACTAGCAAGTATTTTATCCATGAAAGGACTTACAGATCTCAACCTAGTATGAAAATTACAAGATTATGGATGGAAGACAAAGGTCTAATAGAACATAAATCTTAGAGAAATGCATATCATTATGTTTGAACTACAGTAAAAATTTAGACAGTCTAAAAGCCTTCCAGTCATACCCTATAGGGTGCTGCAGATAGACAGATACTCAGCACTCATGTATTCAGTAGAGATCCAGAAATACAAATGTGAAGGCCCCAAAGAATTTTTCAGACATTCACTTTATATCATGAAGTATAAGTCATAAAATTATAATCTTTATAGAGCTCTTACCAGCCAGTTTCTCACAAACACCCATTTGCCATTAGAAGAATTGAACACTAATGTTGTGACCTCTTTTTCAAAGAAACAATTAGAAAAACCTAATAGCTCTAGTTCTTTTTTGACATTTAACTAGAGAGCCACCCTTTTGTGCAGAACACACTGATTTACAACAGTTACTTACAGGTTTTCTAACATCTGGCAGGGTAGCCCACAGTGGAAAAACAATGGGCAACACGAGAAGATAGGTGACCTGCTTGCGTGGGGTTTCAGGCCAGGCCAAGCTGAGAGGCTGCTCCTCCTCATCCTCTTCACTCTGTAAGAAAAGCACCAGTGAGCAGATTATCAAAGTGAAAGAATGAAGTTAGGGATTCTTTCAAAAGAAATTGAAGGACTGCGTTGTGTTTCAGGGAGAACTATGGCATCTGAAAACATTGCATTAACACTACACCTACCTAACAACATTAGCCAGGACACACCAAAAAAGACTTTGGCCTGACTACAAGGTATCCCTGCAGCACAGGCTGCCTGAGGATGTCTATTTGTTGGCAATGTGGGGTGGTCCCTTGGGATGCACAGGGTGTCTCTGACAAGTGTTCCTATGACTCTGTCTTGGCACGTGGGCTAGTCTAGTCAGTGGTTAAGACTTGTCTGGGCCACGCAGACAAGAGATAGAGAACATGTGCAGAGATGTGCCAGTGTGTGCGCACAGACACACACGCACACATCTTTATGCGTGCATATAGAGGTATGCACATATCCAACTTCTTAAGCTTTTGCAAGTAACTTGAAACCTTACTATTAAATATCTATGCATACATGTATTGGTATATATGGTCTTCTCCACAGATAAGGTAAGATAAGGTAATTCAGGCACTGTGGAGCTCTAGTGCTAAGCTGATGGGGTAAGACTGGGCTCTGCCCATTCAAACTGTGAAAACAATAAGGATGGAGATGGCCCAACAAGGACAGGGGTGCCCCAGCTTTTCTGGGCCCCAGCACTGTTGCCAGGTTGTCCACATAAGGGAAGGGCTTCTCCTTGTGTCTGCTGTGTTCAGACCAGTCACAACTGGCAGTGTTCCTAACAGCTTGGTGCTAAAACTGAAGACACTCCTCTCCAATTTGTGTCACTGATTTTCATATCAGTCCCCAGTCTCCATTTATGTGCTGCCCACCTGTCATCCCTGTTATAGAGTAGGCATATAGGAACCTTCTCCTATGACAGCAAACATTTGGCTTCCACACACTTCTCTTTCCTTAGACTGCTTAAATGGAGCAAGTATAGTTATTTTCAGGTATGAAAATAACTTTTAAATTGTTACCATAGGTAGGTGATGTCTCCAGAACTAAACATAAATTGCAGAATCAGACAACTGAAAAAATGGCCTGAATAATACTTTCACATAGATGTATATAAGGCAACAGCTGTTGAAACTTGGAAAGATTTTTAGAGAGCATAATGAAAGCTAAAAAAGTCTGAAAAAGAGCACCCAGTGAAAACTGTTTGACCCAGTGAATCATATATCATGACTTCTTCAGACAGTGTTTTTGGGTTTTATTTTTGGCAAAAAAGATAATAAAATTAAGACATCTTCACAATATGCATATTATTCCTCCTGTAGATTTATAACTGGCTTCTTTTCAGTTATTGCCCTGTATTAAGATTGCTTGCATAAACCTTATGACAATGCTATATAAAGCAATCATTTAAACAGCAGTTGTTCTTTTCTAAGCAAAAGAGTTATTAATGAAATGTCACCATATGTTGATAATGTTAATAATATTCTATTTACTGCTAATTTTGAAGAACTGGTCTTGATTATTCCACTATTGTGAACTTCTGATTATTCAACTACCTGAACTGATCAGTACTTACACAAGCAAACTCAACTCTTAGCTTGGGATCTTTCACCATGAAGGTATCGCCTGACATCAATGGACTGGAAGCAAACTCCTATTTACCTCTTGACACACTGACAAGTTTCAGCTACTTTTGGGTTGTGTGTTAATGTTAACGGACGACAATATTTTGCTAACCCCTATACTTTGTGAAACTCCCAAGTTGCACATGGGAGTTTATTGTATGACAACAGTAAAGTGAAGATGTCATAACAGTTATGATAATTAAAAACATTTTAAAAATTTGTAGCACTCAGCACAGTACTTCAGAGGCTCCTGAGCAGCTTAAGAGGCTAACTTTTTCCTTTAGCTTTCAGCTCTTCATTGAAATGGACATATAATGCTTCATTGCTGGAAATCTACTGAAGCTTGACTTTAGAGGAACCATGCTGGAGGAGAAGTTTATGAGGCTACTTCGCAAACCCAAGTCCATTCATCTTCCATTCTGGTAGATGCTTTTGGGGTGGGAAAAATCAGCCTGAGACACAGGCTCAGCTTTGAAATATGATGACTGAGATAAAATTTGAGCACAAAAGGACCAATTGAAAGGTTGCCTAGGTAACTCTTTCTGAATGGCCACTGTGTAATTCAATCAGCCAACTTAGCTGGAATAAAGCTTTCTAAGTGACTGCTGCATAAACAGCATTGAGTAGCAAAGTACTTCCTGAATTGCCATCTTTAGCGATTAGCCATGATTAACAATTATATTTAATCAGAACAAAACTTTATGTTAGTCTGAGTTTGCATATGACCTTAAAAATATCTAGACAGTAATGCCTATGTTAGTTCATGCAATACTGTACCAGTACACACTCTAGCTCAACATTGGGCCTTATTCTATTTCATATCTGCATCAACACCTCTGGGTGTGCATGAGCACAGAGGCAACATGAGTGGGTGCAGCAAAGAACCATAAAGAATTGCTTTTGGAGATTGCCAGATGTCTCCTGAGAAACCTTAATCTATCTGTTCCAGATATTTTCTCCTTCCAGTTGTCTTACATCATCCCTTTCCCCAAGACAACTATCCCCAAAATACAAGGTCAAACACACAGTGCAGGCAAAACACTTTTTCTTGCTAGTTTAACTCCAGAATACATTACAGATGTTGCAGAATGGATATTCTTTTCCTATTTTGTAAATTGGATTTGGCATCTGATTTTCAATGCTGGCCTTCCAAAAATCAGTGGAAGTAATGAAGTTCAAAATATTTGTAGATCTAGCTTCCATGAATTTCAAAGCAATACTGAATTATCCAGTGATGCTGAAGAAAAGAATGAGAAATAATTTCAGCAGCTCTAAAACCACACAAATGAGAGTGTCATGCTGTGGACTAAGCGGCAGCGACAGAAAATGACTCAGCACAGATTTATGGCAGCGATTCCATGCACTGTCTGTGGCTCCAGCTGCGTACATACTGAATATGCACTATCACAGTTTATAGAAACTATTTCTGAAAATATAATTTTATTTCAGTCTCTTTCTACAGAAAAATCTGTGCTTGCAATGTTCAGTATGATTATATTCTGCAATGCTAAGAAGAAAAGGCAATTATAACATGATATATACCCAGGAATTCAACTGTGTAAACACATTGGATGGTACCATTTTAAGATACTTTCTGGTATCTGCCTTGACCTCCACATGCTCTAACAGAAACGAAGAATATTCCGCTCATTTTATGACATACCTGCCATTGCTGTGCAAATATCTCAGTTTCTTTAGGGTAGCTGAAGTGCTACTACCTACCCATCTCCACTCCGAAACTCATTCCTTGCTATGACTCAGCAGCTAATTAACTTCAACAATACTGGACTGGGTATAAGGGACAGCTGCATCACCTGATATGATGAACTCTGATGAGAACCCATTAAAAGAAATTGCCACCTTAAGTCAGAAAAAAAGCCAGTTTACACTAGTACCTTGCAATGGTCAGACATTGGCATTCAGAGACTAAGTATTGGAATATGGCACATTTTTTTATCTTCCACAAATTCATAGAAGCATAGCAATATTTAAGCTGGAAAAGACACTTTAGATCATCAAGTCCAACCATAAGCCTAACACTTCCAGCTCCATCACTAAATCATGTCTCCATGCACCATACCTACACATATTCTAAATATTTCCATGAATGATGACTTTTATGCTTGATAATTGATCCAATTCTTGATAACCCTTCACATGAAGAAATTTTTGTAATATCTGATCTAACCAACTCTGACACATCTTGAGGTAACTTCCTCTTGTCCTGTCACTTGCTACTTGGGACAAAAGGCTGACCCCTACCTGGCTACACCCTCCTGTCAGGCAGCTGTAGAGAGCAGTAAGGTCTCTGTTGAGACCTTTTCTCCAGGCTGAAACACCCACCTCCTTCAACTGCTTCCCACAGGACTTGTGTTCCAGACCCATCACCAGCTCCATTGTCCTTCTTGGACACACTCCAGCAATTCAATGTCTTTCTCGTAGTGATGGGCACAAAAGTGAACACAGGATTTGAGATGTGGCCTTACCAGTGCCAGGGGTATAGTGGAAAAATCACTGCTCTGGTCCTCCTGTGTTACGGTGAGCTCCTGGACACCCTTTTGTCCCCACTTTCCTAGGGCCTCTGTGGCTCTGATCATGATAACCCCTGGATCCTCCCCCCTGCCCCAATGGGGTTGGCGGGGAGCCAGGAGAGCCCACCCTGTCCAAAACCTATATAGACCCCTAAAACTTCCTGCTCTCTCTCTTTTGCCCCGCTCTCCATGGACACCACAGAACAAAGAGAGCTGTTCCAACTTCCCTGGGGTAAGGGCCTCTTTTGAATACTTTTCCCTCTCCTGGTATTTCCTCCGCTCACAGCCCCATATCTCTGAGCTGGTCGGATCCTAGAGGGGGCTGCGTGGAGGGGGGGAAAACTATAGAAATTACACTCCTGGATGCACTATACAAGCCAGAATGCCACTGGACCTCTTGGCCACCTGGGCACACAGTTGGCATGTGATTAATTGCTGTAGGCCAGCACAGAATCACAGAACCATAGAATAGTCAGGGTTGTAAGTGACCTCTGGACAACTAAACTAAATGACCCGCAGGTCCTTTCCCGTCATGAAGCTTTTCATTCCCCAGCCTGTAGCATTGTTGCATGGGGTTGTTGTGACCCAATGGCAGCCCATAGCATTTGGCCTTACTGAACCTCATACCACTGGCCTTAGCCCATGCATCCAGCCTATCTGACCTCTCTGAAAAGCCTTCCTACCTTCCAGACGGTCAACACTCCAACCCAACTTGCGTCATCTGCAAAATGACAGGGTGTACTTGATCCCCTCATCCAAATTATCAATAAATACATTAAGCAGGACTAGCCCCAGTAGAGAGCCCTGGAGAATACCACCAGTGACTGACAGCTGGATTTACCTTCACTCACCACCACTCT